TTGATTAGCATTGAATGGCCTAGCGGCTTCAAAGTCTGGCTGGTTTCTGTCTTCTGGAATCTTTGGCTGGTTTCTGTCTTCTGGAATCCTTTGTTGGGAGGTGTTTGCTGGCCCTGATTAGCATTGAATGGCTTAGCAGCTTCAAAGCTTGGCTGGTTTCTGCCTGGTGGAATCCTTTGTTGGGAGGTGTTAGCTGGCCCTGATTAGCATTAAATGGCCTAGCAGCTTCAAAGCCTGGCTGGTTTCTAACTGGTGGAATCCTTTGTTGGGAGGTGTTAGCTGGCCCTGATTAGCATTGAATGTCCTAGCAGCTTCAAAGCCTGGCTGCTTCCTACCTGGCCTCAGTCCAGACAAGAAACAATCAGGGTCAGTTAACACTGCCCAACAAAGGATTCCCTATAGCAGGAAGGAGCCAGGCTTTGAAGCTGCTAGGCCGTTCAATGCTAATCAAGGTGGCCAGTTGCAATACTCACGCATACCTCCAACAGACAAGAGTTCTTTCTTTCTCCCACCCTGGAAATCATTCCAGATATAAACCTCTGAGGATGCCTGCCACAGATGTGGGCGAAACGTCAGGAGAGAATGCTTCTGGAACATGGCCAGACAGCCTGGAAAAATCATAACAACCCTTCCATGCTCTGCATTTTGAAATAACAACAACAACAGTGGTTTGCAGTTTTTAATACAGTTGTCTCCTGAAATGTTGAATATATACTTGTTTTGTTTACAAGTGCGATTTGCTCTGGTATGAAGTAGAAAGGTGTGCACTATAGAATATTTGAAGGGAACCCCAAAGGTCATCTAGTCCCTTTGCTGTTAGTTCAGCAAAAACAAACCCAAACAAACCCCAAATCTCCTCCATTTTTTCATGAGAGTCCAATTCCTTGCAATGCCTGGCAATGACGGTGTTGGAAGCATCATCTCACGGCACAGCTTGCCTCCTTTCCCCTTGTTTCCCTTTTGTGGATTTACTGGATGCACAATTGCAACCCATTGCCCGCCTCGTCTTTTATTAGCTACGGTTAAAGAGAAACCAAAACCCCTTATGTAACATCGAATTCAATTCCCGGAAATGTTGTTTCGTTCCAGCTTACGGTGTCCGAAATACCACTCCCTGGGGGGAATTGGGTATTTAAAGCCCCGTAATCCACCTCCCCCCTTGCAAAAGGGCATGTTTACTGGTTCCTAAATAGCTTGGATTTTGGATTCTTTGCTCCAGGTGCAAGATTCTGGGAAGAAGGATCCAAACCAAAGTACCTTTCCCCCCCAGTTTCATTCAAAGCAGGATATGTAAACAGTTGAGAAGTGATTAGTCTCTCTCATGTTTCCAAGGGATGATGGTTATGTAATCCTTTTTTTATTTATCGGAAAGCCAGGCTTTAGCGTAAAGGCTGCCTTCTGCCTCTGAGCTGCACACTGTGGAATCTAGGTCAGCCAAGGTTTCCAATTGGATTGAGGAGGGATAAAAGGGAACCCTGAAGGCCATCCAGCCCACCCCGTTCTGCTAGACTTGGAAGGCACAGTTGAAGCTTTCCTAAGAGATGCCTCTGTTTCAAAGCCTTCACCAGAGGTTCCAAAACAACAGAGGGGAAACAATCAGGCACATGGGTTGTTGTAGGTTTTTTCAGGATATATGGCCATGTTCTAAAGGTATTTTCTCCTGATGTTTCGCCTGCATCCTCAGAGGTAGTGAGGTCTGTTGGAACTAGGAAAAAGGGTTTGTCAGCCACGTCTAATCACCTCTCAACAAAAGATTGCCCCAGGCACTGCCAGGACATCAAATGCTAATCCAGGTGGTCAGTTGAAACATTCACACCTAGCTCCAGCAGACAAGAGTTCTTTGTCCCACCCTGGTCATTCCACAGATATATAAACCCATTTTCCTAGTTCCAGTAGACCTCACTACCTCTGAGGATGCTTGCCATAGACGCAGGCGAAACGTCAGGAGAAAATGCCTCTGGAACATGGCCATATAGCCCAAAAAAGCCTACAACAACCCAGAGGTTGTACACTCCACTAGAGGTGGAAGGGACCCCTAAAGGCCATCTAGTCCAACCCCATTTTGCCACAATCTAAGCTTTCTTGGTAGATGCCCTTCCAACCTTCAAGACCTCCACCACGCTGGCAGGTGTAGAGTTTGAAGCAATCCATGAAAGTCAGGCAGTGAGATAGGGTCTGGAAGGAAGTAGCTGAGGAGCAGCTGGAAAATTGATTAAATAAACAAGTTAAAGATAGTTTGAAACCTGTTCTTATGTATTCACATAACAGTCCTTTTGGAAGAAAATAATAGTTTGAGAGAAACTCCTTTTGAAACGTTCTGTAAGCAGCAAGCATTTGATGTTATGTAACCACTACGCTTATACCACAAGAATGCTACAAATAAACTCAGTAGCTGTTTCACCTTCAAACAAACTCTCTCTCTCCATGTATCACTTTCAGCTTGATGTTTTTTTGTGTAAATAATGTAAATAAAGCTGATTTCAGAAGGAAGCTAAAAACCTGGATATGGGACCAGGCCTTTGGGTAAGCTGGCAGATGGATAAAGGACAATGACGACCAGAGTAGGAAAGGACTATGGCAATGCTGGATGGACTATGGATTTATGAATTGGCGAATGTTGACCACAAGATGATTTTATTGCTGCTATTGTATTAATTTGATTGTTTTAACTAGTTATAATTGTTGTTATATTGTATTTTGTATATTGTATTTTGTGAACTGTTAGACATCGAATTGTGCCTTTTGTAAGCCGCCCTGTGTCCCCCCCTAGGGGGTTGAGAAGGGCGGGGTAGAAGTGCTCGAAATAAATAAATAAATAAATAAATACTTTATGGCTGCTATCCATTAAAGTTTTATTACCACATTGACATTCCACAGCTGAGGGGCCACCACAGAGAAGGCCCTGTCTCTCATTCCCGCCAAATGCGATTGCAATGGTGAAGTGACCAAGAGCAGGGCCTCCCCAGTTGATCTTAATGCCCTGGTTGGTTCGTAGAGGAAGATATGTTTAGACAGGTAAACTGGGCCAGAACTGTTAAGTGCTTTATAGGCTAAAGCCAGCACTTTGAATTGTGCTTGGAACCTAGAAGGCAGCCAGTGGAACTGGCGCAGCAAGGGCATTGTATGCTCCCAATACCAGTGTAGACCAGGCATTGGCAAACTTTGGCCATCCAGGTGTTTTGGACTTCAACTTCCACAATTCCTAACAGCCTACTGGCTGTTAGGAATTGTGGGAGTTGAAGTCCAAAACACCTGGAGGGCTGAAATTTGCCCACACCTGGTGTAGATGTACCCTAAGTTTTCAATCCAAGAGTACAGTGTGAAACATTGCCTACGATTAACATCAAAACACTTGTCTTGGTTGCCTCTGCTTTCCAGGTGCCGCTTACCGCCCTCCAGCATTGGATTCCTTGTTTGTTTTCATGGCTAGACAGAGTCCTTGGCACGTATTGTGTCCATTGGCTGGAGCTTGGGCTATTCATCAGAGTAACATTTCTGGAAATGTTGAAGCCATGGGGAAAAGAAAAAAAAAACAATTTCAGAAATGCAGCATTTAACACCCTTTTCCAGAGAAAAATGTCCTCTTCGTTACTTTAGGAACATGGAAGGCATGATGTGGTTTGGCACAAGGATGTATTTGTTGCATTAAAAGTACAGTCTGTTTGGGCAATAGTTACACGTTGAATTGACTTCCTTTTGTTGTTACACGAAACTAGCGATAGTTGCAAAGTGTATTTTGTGTTATTTTCCCTCTCTGGATGCATCTGTCAAATTTAATGCAGTTTTGTGTTACTTTAGCCACAATGGCTCCGTGCAAAGGAATCCTGGGATCTGTAGTTTGGCAAGGCCTTTTAGACTTCCCTGCCTCATAGAATCATAGAATCAAAGAGTTGGAAGAGACCTCCTGGGCCATCATCCAGTCCAACCCCATTCTGCCAAGAAGCAGGAATGTTGCATTCAAATCACCCCTGACAGATGGCCATCCAGCCTCTGTTTAAAAGCTTCCAAAGAAGTACCAAAGAAGTTTGGTATTCCTCAAAGTACCAAACTACAAATCCCGGGATTCCATAGCATTGAATTGCAATGTAGTGCGGTCCCTGCATTCTTTAGCAGACAAGGCTTTTACAAAGACCTTGTGAAACTACAACTCCCAGGATTGGCGAGCATCGAGCCAGTAAAGTGGTATCAAACTGCATCAATTGTCCAATGTAGATCCATCCCAAGCTTTCTTTTTCTCAACCAAATTAGGTCTCAACCATTGATATGTAGGATTTAAACAACTTCTCCAGACCTATTTCTCTGTTGTTGTTTTTGTTTTTGTTGTTGTTGTTGTCATTATTGATGGTGATGGTCATGATGATGATAACAGGAATAACAATAATAAAATATTATCAATAGCAGTCATTTATACAGTGTTGTCGAAGGCTCTCATGGCCGGAATCACTGGGTTGCTGAGAGTTTTCTGGGGTGTATGGCAGTCATGTTCCAGAAGCATTCCCTCCTGATGTTTCGCCCACAGTCATGATGATGATAATAGGAATAACAATAATAAAATACTATCAACAGCAGCTATTTATACAATGTTCTCAAAGGCTCTCATGGCCGGAATCACTGGGTTGCTGTGAGTTTTCCGGGCTGTGTGGTGGCCATGTTCCAGAAGCATTCTCTCCTGACGTTTCGCCCACAGTCATGATGATAATAGGAATAACAATAATAAAATATTATCAAGAACAACTATTGATACAGTGTTGTTGAAAGCTTTCATAGCTGGAATCACTGGGTTGCTGTGAGTTTTCTGGGGTGTGTGGCGACCATGTTCCAGAAGCATTCTCTCCTGATGTTTCACCCACATCTATGGCAGGCATCCTCAGAGGTCTGAGGATATTTATAGTTGTGAGGTCTGAGGATATTTATAGTGCCCCCCCCTCCTCACAAGAATCAAGGCTCAAGGAACATTGATTTTGCTATAAATCTGGACTCTCCTCTTTGCCTTTCTGCAGGATCCTGGAATTTCTTCTACGGAGAAGATGACGCCCAGCCGACTTATTCCACTGCTGGGATTTCTAGTTTTCCTGGAGGGAGCCCTCTGCATCCTTCCACCCCAAAAGCTGCAAGGTAAGTAGAACAAGGCATTCCCAATTTTGCAGTCACATTTAATCCTCTACCTTCCCATTTTCTTAGCTGCTCTTCAAATGCCCCGGTTTCTCTCTCCTCCCTCTCTCCTCCTTTTACCCTGCTTGATTCCATTGCTGCAAAGCGGAAACATAGTTTAAATTCATGGGGGAGAGGAATGGAAGGGGTCAAACCTTGTCTTTCCAATGGGCTCATGCAAAAGCTGTAGTGTTTAAATTATTTTAAGCAGAAACACCAGAAACTTCATTTTTGTGGCACAAACTATGTCGAGTTTCTTGAGCCTTGATGAGATATTCATTGCAAAACTGTTGCAAAATGTGCTGCAGGATGTCCCTCTCGCAGAAACAAAGTTTTGGCAGTTTAATAAACTTTCCTCATGTTTTTAATGATAGAACCAATTAGGGAATAACATTTATAACCCAGGAACGAAAATTGTGATGCATTGCGTTGTTATTATTATAATATTTATATATGTGGGGTAATGTCTGTGATGTGGATACAGCCACATAAATAAACCCCAAGTTTGCCAGTGGGATAATTACTTTTTAAAATCCCCCAAATGCCACCTTCTTTTGTAGAGTTATTCATTTCCAAACTGGTCTGTTGCCCAGTGAAGTCATTCCTCCCGAAAAGTGACTCATGTCTAATGACTGGTGGCTACTAATTATGGTTTTCCGCCTGGCTAGTGCCGCTGCAGGAGGGCGAGGCGGCTGCTTCGGAAAGGGAAGAGAGGCTGGAGATGGGCCTTTGGTCCCTTTTTGCAAAATACTGCAGGCTGGGACTGTTGAGATTAATTTCACAATTCAGCAGCAGATCAGTTGCACAACTTCAGTGCTTTCCAGTAGCTTCTTCCTGCACAGTATTTTCAGTCAACTGCTCCCACAAACTGTAGTCAATCTGGAACTCTCTTACAGACACTTGAGCACATGCCCGGCCATTGTCAGTTTTACCATTGTTTTCCCCTCCAATCTAGATGACACTACAAACTTACCACAGCACACGGTTATATCTTTTCTTAGCAGACAGGCTCTTTTAATCAATTACATAGAGCCTTTGACGAACAGCATCACAGCACAAGGAGAGAGATATACACTGTATATGACTTCCTTATATACAATTCTATACAAATACACATAGCAATCTCTGATTGGTTCCCAACTCATTAACTTCACTCAGACCCAGGATTACATTGTTCACAGTCACCTGGACTAGGCCAGAACACATTCCCCAAATGATTCCCTATATACAGTTAATGCATGACTCAGCATTTCCAATAGAAGCCTATTAGCAGTGCATGACTCACCTATATTACATTACAATACAGGGACCTTGAGAGTACAGGAAAAGTTCCTTCTTTTTTGGACTGTATAACGACTACGGCACCTCCTAAAAATATATGTGAATGTGTGTTCACCCAAAAATATGAAGCCGTCAAAAGGAAGAGGGAGTATGGTTGGAATACAGTTGTATAGATTTGATTTTCCCTTTAAATTAGTTGTTGAAATATATCCACTGAAATATAACAATATCAGGGGAATTTAGAACAGAGAAGGGGAGAGACACTTAATATTTTAAAAGGTAGGAACTGGGAAACACCAAACTTGAGAGACTTAAAATGACTCTTCAAATGAATTCCGCTGCCACCATTCCAATAATAATCAGGCTGAGGTAATATTGAGAGTTTGTTCTGTACCACACTCTGTGCCACTGTAGTTTCTGCGTGGCGTCGGTGAAGCTGACTTTAGAAATACTTTGACCACAAAGGTATACACACTGAGGCTGGTGTAAGTTAATAAAAGAACAAGAATGTTTATTGAACAGGCTTGAATTAATTCAGGTACAAATGCTTAATGGTTTCAGAAATTTGCTGGCATGAAAAAGCTTGTGGTTGTGTTAGAGTAAAATCTTAAATACTTCTGAGTTACAAGTCTTCAAAGTTCCACAGAAAATTACTTCAGGAAATTAATCCCTGACAGTAACTCCCAAAACAGATCCTTGGGAATCTAGTGAAAAATACCCTGAACTAGACTTACCTTGGAAATGAACAGTCCACTAACTGGGTACTTCTCCACAACAGTATTCTAGCTATCTACTAATAGCTAGCCTCCTTATTTTCCCTCTAAGACTTGAACACACCCCGTCAAGGAAAATACCTAACTAAAATGGCTCCCACCCGGCTCCCTTTTCTAAAATGGACGCTGTGGCTTCGCCAGGCCTACTCCCTTAGGCTTCAGCCAGCCAGCTAAGGTAAAGGATTCATTACAGACTACCACTCCTCGAAACCCCCATCCAGTTTGTAATAAAGCAAACATTTTATGGATGCGTTCCCTTGGCTGCAGTGGATGTGGAGGGCTAACTAAATGGGATTCATTGAGTTGTCAAGGGCTTTCATTTCCAGAATCACTGGGTTGCTCCAGCAGCATTCTCTCCTGACGTTTCACTTGCATTTGTGGCTAAAGACGTCTTCAGAGGTTCTTGTTGGGCAAGTGACCTCATTAACAAAAGACCCTCCTCATAAATGCATAGCAGAGTAACTTATCAGTAGCAGCGTGACCCAGCACCAGGAGCCCAAAGTGATAAAAGGAAAAAATATATTTATTTATTTTATTTACAGTATTTCTATCCTGCCTTTCTCAGCCCCAAGGTGACTCCAGGCTGCTTACAAGTTTGCCAGGCATGGGCAAACTTCGGCCCTCTCTCCAGGAGGAGTGGGTCAGGCTGGATGTCCTTTGGGGGCCCCTTCCCATCCTGTGCTTCTACAATTCTTTCTCCTTCTTTCCCCACAGAGCTCTCTGACACTGGGAGCCAGTACATTGACTCGGAGCTGGAAAATGCCATCAATGGGGTCCGGCAGATGAAGCAGTTGATGGACCAGACCAGCGTTGACCACCGGCGGATCCTGAGCAACCTGGAAGAGACCCAGAAGCAGAAGGAGGTCTGTCGCAGCCCCAAGTGTCTTCCTTTCCCCTGAATTACCCTCTTGTAGTCCCTCTCCACTTGTAGTCTGGGGAGCGGCGTGAGCTTCCGCTGTCAGCCTTAGCTTCTGCCAACCTAGCAGTTCGAAAACATGCAAATGTGAGTAGATCAATAGGTATCACTCTGGCGGGAAGGTAACGGCACTCCATGCAGTCATGCCGGCCACATGACCTTGGAGGTGTCTATGGATAACACTGGCTCTTCGGCTTAGAAATGGAGATGAGCACCACACCCCAGAGTCAGACATGACTGGACTTAATGTCAGGGGACTAGCTTTACCTTTACCTAGTCCCTCTCCAAACTGCAAATCCCAGGGTTCTTTTGAATTAAGTCAAAATTGCATAAAATTGTAATACTGTCAAGTACAAGACAGGATAGGAGCACTACGCTTCCCCTTTAATTGCTATGGTTCCTTCCTATGGGAATCTGGGAGTGGAAATCCAGATGGAAGAAGAACCTTCCTATGTTAGAGGAAGGCAAAACCGTCTTACAAATTATTAGTATTAACCTGCATTTTGTGGGTTGAATGTGAATCTGCATTTTATCTGTCTATATTTGTTATATGTTATTTTAATAGTGTTTTGTTTTACTTTCACCATGTCGTGCCCTGCCTTGAGCAGCAAGGAGAGGCGGGAGAATAATAATAATAACAACAATAATACTTTTAATAATGTTGTTATATTGTTATTATCTTTGACTTTGTTACAAATATCACAATGATAAACACGCACACACATATAGATTGTTACAAAGTGTGTGTGTGTGTGTGTGTGTATCCATTTATAATATATCTATCTATGGCTCTATCTTGCTTAGGCGATCCCTCATTTTCCGAGGATTGTCTTCGCGTGTTCTTGTGGATCCATAGGTGGCCGTGGAGCCCTATTCTTGCTTTGCATCTTCTTCCGCAGTGAGGGCATTGGTTTCCAGGTGGAAGGTGGTCTCGGTTGGGGTTGGCTTGACACGCCTTCCTCTTGGCACGCTTCTCCCTTTCGCCCTCCATTCGTGCCTCTTCAAATTCTGCAGCACTGCTGGTCACAGCTGACCTCCAGCTGGAGCGTCAAGGGCCAAGGCTTCCCAGTTCTGTCTGGAGCGCTCAAGGGCCAGGGCTTCCCAGTTCTCAGTGTCTATGCCAGAGTTTGAAGGTTGGCTTTGAGCCCATCTTTAAATCTATTTTCCTGCCCACCAACATTCCATTTTCCATTCTTGAGTTCGGAGTAGAGCAACTGCTTTGGGAGATAGTGGTCAGGCATCCAGACAATGTGTCCCGGTCCAGCGGAGTTGATGGCGGAGGACCATCGCTTCAGTGCTGGTGGTCTTTGCTTCTTCCAGCATGCTGACGTTTGTCCGCTTGTCTTCCCAAGAGATTTGCAGGATTTTCCGGAGGCAGCGCTGATGGAATCGTTCCAGGAGTTGCATGTGACGTCTGTAGACAGTCCACGTCTCGCAGGCATAGAGCAGGGTTGGGAGGACAATAGCTTTATAGACAAGCACCTTGGTATCCCTACGGATGTCCCGGTCCTCAAACACTCTCTGCTTCATTTGGGAAAATGCTGCACTCGCAGAGCTCAGGTGGTGTTTCCCCCCCCCCTGTCTTGTGGTGTTTGGGATTTCGGCCTTGCTCAATGGGGGGGGTTGACGGTCCCCACCGGTGGATTTTTTTGAAGGGCCCGATGCCACAAGGACGCATCGGAAATGGGACCTGGGTTTTTTTTTTGGGCCCCCTTGAGTGGCTGGTGTCTGCTGGAACAGCACCTTGGTTTTTTCAATGTTCAATGACAGGCCGAGCTTCTCATATGCTTCTGCGAAGGTGTTTGGCTCTATATTTACATCCACAAAAGAGCATAAATGTAGATAGATAGCTACAGATATCTATTATTTACTATATTATGCAGATAAAGAGATTTATGCAAGCACATATATCATACGTATATTATACATTAACACTTTTTTTGTACCCCGCTACCATCTCCCCAAGGGACTTTACATATACAGTTTGCATATTTACATATTTGTTTCTACACTACACATGCATATATGTAAATATGGTACTCAATATATACATTTCTTTAAATGCATGGTTTTCTAAAGCTTGTGTGTGTATAATATTATATAATATAGTCAGTCAGTCAGTCAGTAGCCTTTATTTCGGTCAACAAACCATCGGCTAAGTCAAGTGAAAGTAGAATGATGAAATACAACAATTTACAATTAATAACATCACATTTGGCTTATAATTAATAAAAACAAGTATCACCATTCGCTATCGGATGAATGGCTGTCTATATAATCTAAAACAGAAACTGATTGCAAGTTAATAATAAGTCTCCCGAGTACTCTGTTACACTCAACCTTTACAGGTTATTCATGAAGCACTTGCGGCTTTTTGCCGCTGCAAACAGAAATTTGGCCACCTGTTCCGTTACCCTTTTGTCAAGATCAGACAGTAAATAAGTGCAGTACCAACTTAGGGATCTCCCTGGCCACTTGGTGAGTAGAGAGGATATTAACCTTAGTCTATCATCCCTGTAAATTGTGCAAATAAAAAGTACATGTGTTACAGTTTCAATTTTACCCTCCCCGCATGGGCAAACTCTGTGTTCGTAATCAGTCCCTTTGTATCTGCCCTCTAGTATGGCTGATTTGAGGGCATTGAATCTGGCCCAACTGAAAGCAAGGCGAAATTTTGGGATGTTTAAATTTTCTAAGTATTTGGCACCTCCCAAAGAATTAAATGTTAGGCCTAAACTCAATGGAGAGCATGTGGAGCGCGCCAGAGTCATTGAGTCCTGTTTGTCTATGTCACTGATCCGTTCCGCTAAGATCTGCATTAACTTTTTATGCTCAAAACCGCTCAATGTATTCTCTGAGAGGCCCATCTGCCTGAGTTTCTGATTTAGCGCTTTGATTCGGTGGGATTTAAAGAGGTCTTTTTGAATCAGATATGTATATCCCGCTTCAGGCCCTTTGTGCACCCTCTCCATCCAGTATCCTAGGGCCCTTCTCCAAGCCAGTGATTC